CCCCAAAACCCCAAAACCCCAAAACCCCTTAATATTTAAATTTGGAAATTAATTGAATAATCAAATATAAATTAAAATACTTATAAAGTAAGCAACATATCTTGAATAGTAGAATTCGAAAGAAATGTATAAAAGCAGAAGTAAAAATGGAAAAACTAGCAATAAGTAATACAATCCAAAGGTTTATAACAATTGTAATAATAAATTACCAACTCAATAATTTTTAAATTAGTAGAAGAATGGCAAAATGATACAAACTATTCAGACTCAAACAACCACAGATAAAGAAATTTGATCAACAATAAATATGATGAGGAAATAAGATAGCACAATACATCTTACTAAGAAGATTCGAAAAGAAATTCATATCAAGATAATGCATCAATGTCTAGGACCTATTTCGATTAGATGATGAGCTAGGCAAAAGCAGATGATATTGAAGTAGTACCAAGATATTAGGCAAACAAATTTTAGCAAAATAGGAATCAAAAGAGTGCGTCCACAAGGTTATGAAGATGGAAAACAAAATTTGTTGGAAAGAGCTATCAGCAGCATATCATCATAGAAGGAAATAAAATATAGAGAAAACAACTATGAAGAAGACACATTGTCATTCTAAATGAAAGAGTAGAATAAGGTCTTGCTTGGCGGCTGGCTTGAAGTATCAGTAAATTTTGGGGACATTACTAACGAGCAAGTTGATGCAATTACAAATGCTGCCAACGAATTTTTATCTCATTCAGGAGGACTTCCTTTTGCCATCTCTAAAAAGGGTGGTCCTTCAATTCAGCATGATTCAAACTTATGGGTAAATTAGAATGGTAAAGTGGAAACAGGAACAGGTAGAGCAGTCACAAAAGCTGGAAATATGACAAATTGCAAGTATGTTATTCATGCTGTCGGTCCTATTTGGACTAATGTTAGTTAAAGTTACTATAATCTTGTTCATAGGGAAGAAGAGATGATGAAAAATTGTTGTATGACTGTGTTACAGATACACTGAAAACTGCTTCTAAGTTAAACTGCAGATCTGTTTCAATTCCTGCTATATCTTCTGGCATCTTTGGATTCCCTAAAGACTTATGTGCTGCTCACTTATTCAGAGCTGCCGAGGACTTTTGCTTTTAGAATGATCAAAATAATACTTGCTTAAGAATAATTAGATTCACAAACTTCGATTAAGAAACTGTGTCAATTTTTACAAAGGAAATTAAATTGAGATATACTGAGAGATTTGAGTGTGTTCCTTTAACTGGCACATTTAATGAAGGATCAGGAAAAAAGAAAAGCATTAATAATAACTAGCAGAAGTAAAATGTTTCAAATAATGATCATAGAAATGGATCCAACAGTATTAATAGTGCTATTAATAATAATAAAACTCATTAAAACTCATAGAATGCTAATCTCTCCAACAATAAAGATTTTAATTCAAACAAGTATTAAAATTAGGTAATTCAGTAATAACCTAGCTTAAAGCGTAATACTTTTTTCAAGGAGGTTTAAACATAAACATTAACATATGATGAGCTTTAATAGAAAATTATAAAAGATTATAAAGAAAGCTAAAAACAGGCTTTTGAAGAACCTAAATAAAATAAAATAAAAGATTATATAGAAGGCTAGTAGATATTGGAAAAAGAATAAATCAGTAGGTCTAATAATGAGCAGATACCAGATAATTAAAGATAAATTATTGATGAAGCAATAGTGAAAGTAAGAATAGAAAATATTTAAGACGACAAACAAAATTAATAAATTGATGAAGAATAAAAGAGTTATGAACATAATGATTAAAAATCAAGTCTATTGGAAGAAAAAATACCTTAAGAAATTGTTTTAAACATAAAATAAAGTTAAGATTGCGATTAGTTTGAAGAGAAAAATGATCAAATTAAAAACTCAGATAGTTCAGCTAACTAGCTAGAATTATAAGTTTATAATAATCCTAAAGACAACATGAATTAATATTCAGAAACCTAAAATATTTAAGCTGTTTCAGAATTAAATAAAGAGAACATTTAAACTTGCATTGATGCTTTAGATAAAGAAGGGGGAAAATAATTGACTCATTAGGATTAAACTAGCGGTGATTTTCTAGATAAGCAAGGGGAATAATAAGAAGATCAATAATAAAAGAAAATTAGAAGTGACATCTTTGATTAATAAGAATCAGATTAAAAGGCTCAACAAGAGAATAATAGCAGTAAAATTCCTGATAAGAGTGATGAAGAATAAAATGCTCAATAGGAGAATAATAGCAGTAATTTCCTTAATAAGGAAGGTCATGAATAATAGACTCAGTAAGAATAAACTAGATGTGATCACCCTGATAAGGAAGAGGAGGATTAAAAGTCTCAATTAGAGAAAGCTAACAATGATCTGCAATAGTAGGAAGAGCATGAAAAAGTATAGAAATACTAATAAAATACTTTAAAATCCAATGATGAAATTGATAAAGCGGCATCTTTAGATGGAATCAAAGATAGCAACGAATTTTAGACTCATTAAAACAATTCTTAAATATAATCATAGGATCCTAATTTTAATGAGTAATTAATTGGTAATTCTTAAATTAAAGATAATGATTCCACAAAAAATTTAGAAGATAATCCAATTCAGAAATTTTAAAATTAGCAAGATAATAGTTAAACATAAGATATTTAAACTGTGAATGCAGAAGAGTTAAAAGTTTAGATTAATTAAATATAAGAGGAAAAAAAGATGAGGAATAAAAGGATCTTAATAATAATATACAAGTTACAGAATCAAATCAAGAATTAGAAGCGAAGGTCTCTAATGAATTACCCAAGGATAATTAGAATAGTGATTAAGAATAAGCTTCCATACCTGTTATTGATCATTAAAATACTAATGAGTCTCAATTACAGGAAAAATCAGACGAGAATTAGAAAGATAAAGTAATTGATAAATAATTGGATGATTCTAACTATGCTGCAACAGAAGAAGAAAAAAAGGATGCAGAGAATCAAATATCAGGCAATATTGGGGGGGAAGAACTTAAAAATGAGGAAGAAATAATAAATAATAGTAATAATTCTAATTATGATATGTCATAAGCATCATAAATAAACACTGAAGATAATTAGAAAATTCTGAATGATTAGAAAGATGAAACCAAGGATTAATGGTAAAATAGAAATTTGGAATTTGATTAAAAATCAAAGATCCAAAATAATGATGAAAAATAAAAAAATGAAAATTTAAAGGATATTTAAAATCATAAACCAATTAAGCAAGAAATTATCTAAATTTAAGTAAAATCAAGTGAAAATAAGGCTGAATAAATAAATCATGAAGATTCTGTAGAATTTGAGGAAAATAAGGATGACAAATTTAAAAAAGTTGCTAATGATGAAGTGCTTAAAGCTACAATAGACTAAATGAATAGCGACTGAATTGATATTTAATTTAATGATTTAAATATGTTTCTTAATAACAAAAATCTATCAATTAATTTGTAATTTTACCTTTTATCCAAGAAATTCAACTAATTCTGTAATTGGGGTTTTGGGGTTTTGGGGTTTTGGGG